CATCGTCATCACCACTTCCATTACCGAATSATCTTCACCATCACCATCATCGTATTTACCATTATTATCATCACCTTTATCACACTCACCATCACCATTCAATGAGCAGTGAAGTCATGTTCAACAGTTGCATACCGTGACTTTACTATGTGCTYTATCTACCTACCATACGACTAGTCCTTAGCCTAATCCTTAGTCTTGACATGATATGATATTACCTTCCATTGTAGTGTCTTGGTTGGTCCTGGTACTTGGCTAATGATATGCAGTTCTACGTCATATCTCCAATACTTCTTTACCTCATGTATCGGTGAGTATTCCTAGTTACACAAATCGCGTCGTGTAGTTTGCAATAGACTGCCGTCAATCAAACACCTCATTCTACTTGGATGTACTCAACCTCTTTGCAATAGCTTTCGGAACTTTCCTTCGTGATATCTGACTGAGAAAGTTTGATAGAAAAGCCAACTCACTGATCCAAACRTGTATAAATGGCGTCAACATGWATGATTGAYAGTAGTCTATTGCAAACTACAYGACTYRRTTTGTGTCTGGGGTGGCYGCGTRGTAATGCAAACGAAGGTAATCSAAGGCACTACGAGTGTGCGGAGTCAGAGTGGGTACCCTGTGGCCTGAGCATGCGTAATAACATTCATCACGGTACMARTTCAAGAATGAAGARATGACCAAGATTATCTGAGTGGATSATTCTTAACAAACAAGAAGAGAAGTTTGATAAAAGGCTCCGGTTAAATGTCAAACTTCACATGAGCCGAACCTAATGACATCAAAGAAGAAAGTCTTGTTATCCATTGTTTTAATTAGGTTGGACTCATGTGAAGTTAGACGTTTGATCTGAGCCTAAGTCTACTACGCCAGAGACTCGATGGWCTTCTTGCTTTGGGCTGGGSTCGACGTACCTCACCTCAGCTGCTTAACACGGTACAAATGGTACTGAACCGAAGAAAACGTCATCTCATTGTATTCTTTGTCTGATTCTTGCAGGCTTAAGAATGTKGGGTTATTTGTTGGAGTTGGTGGAATGATTCAATCAAGTATCATAGTGACTGGTGTTCTTATTGGCTATTATGACCTCCCCATAGCGATGGCTGGAGAGTTCGAGGGCACGTAAGTAAACTTTACTTAACAGTAACGCTAGTAAGCCGATGGTGGAGGGATGGGAGGGGAGAGAGAGGGCTAAATAAGGGAAGGAGGGRAAAAGTAAGAGAAAGAAGGGTGCGACAGGAATGATCAAAGAGAAAGAAGGATGGAGGAAGTGAAAGGAAGGAAGAAGAAAAAAGAATCAAGAATCGTTCCCGYGATCACATGACATCGATGAGAGGTGACCCATTAACAGCGCACTCCGCCTTCGTCGCCCATCTAAAGTTGTCATAGTAACAGTGCGTACTTGTTTGTTTTAGAACGAACAATARAGGGAACATGTACACTAACTATGTTTACATCAAACCGTATTGCCGTATCACACCTTACCTCGTGGGCATGGCTCTTGGTTATGTCTTCTTCATGGACAAAAAACATTCATTCATTCGCAAGTTTAACCCGGTAAGACAAGATATGAAATAGAGAGTCCTGTTTAATGAAAGCACAGGTCTCTCCTTTGATTTAAAGTTTTTTCTGCGTTTTCTTCGGTTTTTCTTCCTTATTTTCTTCTAATGAAAATAGTTTGCAGATCTTTTTCTGCGATATTTACAACTTCTAGGTTTTTGGCTTCCAACACTGATCAAACTAAGAATTGACTAACTCACACAGTTATAACTGAAATTTGAGGAAGAAAAACAAAAAAAACAAAAAAAAAAAACACGAGCGGAACCTGAGCGTACCGCGTCTCTGAAAATGTCTTGTACATAAAAAAAACATTCTAATAGTTAGCTGCTTTGTTTTACAGAACAAGCGTTGGTTGTTGGTTCTTGTTGGATGGTTGGTGGCCATTGCTACTGGTATTTCTACTGTCTATGGGATGTATAGTCAGTATAAAGTGAACGGCAAACCTTTCTCTAAGGCTGAGAACATTATCTATGGCAGCTTGTTCAGGTTCGCTTGGGCTGTCGCTCTAGCCTGGGTGATCTACGCTTGTCAAACGGGTTTTGGAGGTAAGATCAGAGTTATTAACTCTGGTAAGATATTGTAGAAGACATTCTTTTCAYCCTTCGCGATTTTGCTCGCATTCACCGGCATTTGCAGTTCAGGTTGCGGTTAGTAAGGGCCTAAGGCCAATCACACATCGAGCTAGTAATTGCTCATTCTCACGAGCCAGAGTCTCTTGACTAAAGCATTGGAGCCCTGGTCGAACTGGAGTTTATAAGTTATTTTTTTAGGACAAGGAAAACCGGAGAACCCGGCTAAAAACCCTCGACTCGCAGAAAGAACCAACAAACAACTCTACTGTGGAGTAATTGATCATGTAAAGATAACACTGACCCGACCAGGAAACCTAACGTTCGAGAAATCCTATCTTGTTCCCATGGAGTGACCCTAGGRGTATGGGTCCATTAAGGTCCTTCCTTCTGTAAGACAACAACACTTTATGTTGTAATTTTTTTCAATGATGAGCAATAATGGCAAAAAGCGCCAAAAACTAGACCTTCGTATGAGTTTTGATACCAATTTTCGTTTCGGGTTAACACTCAAAACCTTTTTTAAACAGTTAGAAACTGATGTACTATGATAAAATGCTTGTTTGAAGCGGTATTTTCAATCGTACAAAGATGTTTCGTTTCATTTCGTTAAACTTTCTGAATAACAAGATTTTAGCCTTGTACAGCAGCCTTTCTTCAAGAAAATAGTTTTTGGCGCTCACCGCTTGAATACGAAAAGAATTCTCTCTTAATATGTAAACTCGCGGCAAAGTCGACGCTAACATCAGGGTGTTCCTTTTGCCCCAGTCAACTATGCAACTATACCATTCACCGCGAAAATTGGAATTTCCGGTCAAGAAGCTTATCGGTGTATACCACAAGGGAGAGGAAAATGTTTCCTTCCCAACAGCCAGTCCGCGCACATTTGCTAAGAAAACCTTTTTTGGAATCTTAAATCCACAGGATTTTTTAAATCTTCTCGCCGTTTTTTTTAATTTTAATTTTTTCTATTTTTATTTTTATTTTTATTGGAATTTGATTAGCGCGCCAGCCAGTCAGAAGCATAGACAATCGAGCTCACCCATGCTCCTTGGTGTCTGGTTACGACCTGTAGAGAATCAATATCATAATTAGTGCTAACCAAGTAGATTTAAAGCGCCATTGGATAGAAATGGAAATGGCGCTATATAAGAATAAAGTTATTATCATTATTATTACCGATGGCCCGGAACTCTATTTTGATATAAGCTCAGACATAACTATGATATCGTTGTCTTACTCTTTAGGTCTGGTAAACAGGATCCTGTCTGCTAGGTTCTGGATTCCTCTGAGTCGGTTGACGTATGGTACATACCTGGTGCATATCATCGTGATARGCGTGTTTTTCGGTGGATTTCAGCATGAGATTACCTACACTGACACTCTGTTGGTAAGTCGTCTCTAACTCGCGTTAGTCCTGTGACTGTGTGTATTTTCCCCGCATGGAGTAATGGGGCTTATTTATGTACTCCAGAAGGGTTAGACCTGATCCAATGTTTTTCCATTTCAGCCATGTGTCAATCCCTMGAGTATCATTTCTTTGTTTMATAGTTGTTATGCAGTCAGAARCAAATRAATATGCCRTACRACCAGAGAGCTCCSTCACACCTCCCTGATACCATTTAAGCAAAGCAAAATAAYATACCTAGTTGAATTAGGTCCAATGCGAAAAGTGTGTCTTTAAAACCTTTGTCGTTTGTAATTCCTACCCGTCAGTTTCGGCTCTTGGTGTTTTACAACCTATTACCATCCAACATAAATAGTGCACTTAAGTGTCAGTGGTTCTTGGATTTAGGCCTCGTTACCCACATTCCATCTATTCCGCCTACGATTCATTCCAAACCGAACATTCATAGACCTTCACGAGATAGTAGKTATAGTGCATTGTGGTCTAGCTTCGATACAAACATCTTTTGTTCATCATACCTGATATGGTGTTGTTTCTCTCCAAGCTAGAACTCCGATAAAAAAAACCAATATGACGCTAAGCCCATTTAACATTATTCTTGTTTCATCCGCCAGGTTTTCTACTTCGTGAGTTTTGTGGCGGTATCGTATGGCATAGCGTTCATTCTTGCTGTTGTGGTTGAGTTTCCTTTGATGCAGCTAGAAGAGTTGTTCCTCAAGCGACGTTAACTCTCCGTTCTCGTTCTCCATGCCTCATGAGTACCTTGTGATYTCCTCCAAGAAACAAAAGGATCCATCCACTGATTTTCGCTTTTCGGAACACGTTTCATTACTTTAATATGATTTTTTATTGTAATGGTAATTATTCGCAAATAATTTTAAAGCACGAACTTTACGCGAGAGACGGAAAATACGCTCTGGTTTAGCAACATTTATCCGGTCTAAGAATTTTTCAGTACACTAATGTCATTGACAAAATCTGTGTTTTTACTTAAGAGATTTTCCTAAAATGTAACTCATTTGCTGTATATTATGCATCCATGTAAAAAAATATTATAACAAAGCTGGATCTTTGGGTTTAGATTTTAGTGAATTSCGATCTCTCGCGCCTTGATAATGATAAAGTGATATATGGATTATTCAAAAATTATGCATAAAATTGATTACCTGCAGGTTAAATAGGCAACTAGTTTGACTAAAGCCCTATGTGCCATTTAAGCGCTAGGAAGATACGACTAGTTTGAATTATTTCTGTTGTTGAAACTATATTTAATTGAATTTTATTTTTAGTTATAAAATGGAAAAGTCTTTTATATTGATTTTATCAACAGGATTTGTACGAATAATAACATTTATTGAAATCTCCATGGTATCTATATGCTTGCACTCCTGCTTTTCTTTTCTTTTTCTTTTCTTTTTTTCTTTTACTTTTTCTTTTTTGAGTAAGAATGGTTGCACCAGTTTTCTTACGTCCTCTTCTCTAGCCCCACTTTCCTCTCCCTYCTTGCGCCGTGCAGCCAGAGGAATCTGGGACTAGACACAAATATTAAAAGGACAATWATTAAATAGGGAACCGTGCCAGACATGTCTCGAATCCAATAATCCCTATGCTAAAACAAACAATACTGGATCCTAAGTAAATAGCACCTCRATGCATCTTATATGAGAACCAGGAGATCTAAAACAGCTCAGTCATCCAATCAAAAACCAGGGAAAATGCACCTGTCAACCAATAAGAGAGCTGGAATACGACCAGGAASAATATCATTCATTAAACCAACATAGTATCGGCAAAATAGAAATATTTGTAACTTAACCGAAATATTTTTTGCGAACAACGTTGTGTAACTAGAATTTTACTCTTMATATTAACTGAGTCAAATCCAACTAGTGGTCTCTCATCAATGGTGCGTTCTGATTGGATGAGCTACTAGTTATAGCCTACTAGCAGGGCCGGCTTTGAAAACCAAAACATTAAATTTAACTTTGATTYAAAATATATTTGCTAAATAGATAATCCTTGCCTCTGGCCTGCAAAGGAGGCWACAGGCTAGATAGACCAGAAACGGATGCACATTAGAACTCTACAAAGTATTTATAAAACAAACAACGACAGTTACTTTTACATCCGTTGCTATGACGACAGAAAGATAGAAATTATGTAACCAAGTTCTGTGCAAAATTAGACGTCAGCTTGCATTGCGGACGTAAAAAGAAAAACAACCACTAAAAACCGGTAAATCTGGTTTAAACTTTACTTGCTTTCATTCTAGGCATATTATCATAACGGGGTCAGCCAACCAAATAACTATGCACTCACGTGTGTGTTCATTTGTTCTCATACGTTTTACCGCGAAAACAACTTTATATTTCGCATTTTCAAGTGTCGTTTGAGAGGTTAAAGAAGGAAAGACAGAGGTTGTGATTGTTTGTCCTTACCCACGATGTCAAGCAGTAGTCCTGCCAGTAATGGAAATATGCCTTTCGCCGGCAGCAACGATGTTTTGAGTCGCGAAGAAAGAGATAGAACCACAGACAATCTGTTACATGTAATGGAGGACGCACAAACACCATTCGTAGGACTCCAACGTAAAGTTGGTGTGATAAGCGGAATTTCTTTGATAGTTGGAACTATGATAGGCTCTGGGATTTTCGCCTCACCTCGATATGTCATCGAATATTCAGGTTCAGTCGGCATGACTATGATCGTATGGACTCTGTGTGGTTTACTAGCTATGGCGGGAGCATTGTGCTACTCGGAGCTCGGTACGATGATACCTAAATCAGGAGCTGAATACATCTATATGTATGAAGGATTTGGTCCKCTTCCAGGTTTCTTGTATGCCTGGACATCCACAATCATCCTCAAACCRTCTCAAGTAGCTATCATTTGTCTAGCATTTGGTGCGTATGTTATCGAACCTTTCTATGCATCGTGCTCTGATAGAGAAGATCTTGCTCCTTTGGTGAAACTTTTGGCAGCCTTGGCAATTGGTAAGTCAATTTTCATTGATGTCAACTTATCATTTAAATTCATTATTTATTTATAACGTTTATCTTAAGTTTTTTGTTTTTGCTTTAGTTTGCTACGAATTATTATTCAACAAAAATGCCTCATTCTTTCTTCGTACTTAATATTAAAATGAATATTTATGACAAAGCCTTTATTTTTGAGTGTTTAAAAGACCTTAATAAGACGTTGGTACTTGATTCTAATTACCACTGCAATCAATCATCGCTGTTTATCTATTCATATCGAGCCATGTGTAAATACTCGCAAAGCATATTAGATCTTTATCATGCCGAGATAAAACGAAAAGCAACTCTTCGTCAGATGTGACTCGTAGTTTTCGCTGTMGTACAGATATCGATATCGACATCTTCTGAAACAATTTGAAGTAAGCTTGTTTGTTTTATTTGAGTAGAAAATTATTTACATTACTGTAAAGCAGTCGCGATATATATCAAAGTTTTGATATCTTTGGTTCTATATTCAACTAAATACTTGGTGAAGTGAGGCACATGTATGGTAATTCGATTAATTATGTTAAGTGTCCTGGTAACAATAGTGTGAAAATGTTTTTGAATAATTTCGTCTTAACTGGGCCTAAACATCTGAAGGCCAATTTTAGATAAACTATTTTGSCCTTTCTAAGCTATTTAAACAAATATAATTAAGAAAGTAAGACAAATATGCCACCCACTAAAGTGAGCTCAGTGCAAAAGTAATGTAGCAATTCACAGTTATCTCATGATATTTMTTGAATTATCAGTAGGATTTGTTTTAAGAGATTCACAAGAAATTTCAGCAATTTTAGATTTCAAATTAATTAGTATGCTCAAAAAGGTACGAAACAAAAGTTAAGTAAATAAACACGATACGTGARTAGTTAATGGGCTCGTTAACAGGATAAGAGAGATCATGT